ACTTTAGGTACTATCTTGCATTTAAATACCGATATCATTCAGAGATCGTACAATCCTCATCAATAGTGACCTTAAAACACATTTCAGGCTTAATATTAAGTAATGTGCATTGTGCAATGCAATTACTTAATAAAATTTTTTTATATATGTCAGTAAATATGTTAATAGATTTGAACTGTATTTAGTATGAAATAAATGTATTTGAATATATTACTTTAGACGGGAGTGTTATTTTAATATAAATACATGACTTTTTTTTACTAGGGGGTAGCATATTATTGTTGTCAGTGCTGTCAGCTGAAGCCTTTGGTTGCGTAAACCTAACTCATGAACAAAGGAACTCTTGTTTTGTGTATAGCTTGATTTTCAGTATGTGTCATATTACGAAGCATGCACTGAAATTGTGCTGATAGTTAGAACGTCTCATGATCATATCTATAAAACCATATCTATGCTGGAAACCTAATGGATTTTTCTTTTCCTATTTGTGTTCCAAATATTTGACGTTACATAACTGGATACTGCATATACATCTAAATTAGAGTAGCTTTTCTATGACACTGAGGATACTGCGAGAGCAAGCGATTCCATGATATATATGAAACGTGCATAAGTCAACACCAAACAGTACTGACCCATTTTAGTTTCATAATGTTTCCTCAAGTGAAAAAGGATATTAAACTAGGGGGAAAAAACAGGGAACAAAGTGTCTCTGTAAGACAGGCTCTTAAGGAATAATTGCGCTTGTTTAGACATCAGCTGAAAAGGAGCATCATCTGCACTGAACAACAAATGGTAACCTGAAAATCTAAATTAACTGGTTTTATTAAAATAAAATAAAAAAATATTATTTAGCATCACTGAATCAATGCAAATCCAATTATTTATACCAACAAAACACATTTTTGTGATTTAAATCAGGTACAAATATCTCTTTAAGGTAACGATTGTAGGTTACCACTTTGTGTGAGACACTACTGAGAGCAGAGCCTGTGATGAACAGCGCAGCAACGTCAGTGAATTACGTATAAAGGTATGATTTCCAGGACTGGAAAAAGTCATGGGAGATAAAATACAGTTTTATAAGGTCATCACACTGTCTAAAGTCAAAATTATTTTTTTCTATTTATGCTCAGTTCTGAATTATTTCTTCAATTAGAAAGTAAAGTGCATTAAATTTGATGTTGACAAAAAAAAAAGAGTAACCTAAAAGTTACATTTTTGCGTTGAAAAATGATTACTAATTAAGTTAACTGATACTGTCTATTTATACCACACTTGATGTTGTACAGTAAAGCTCACTAGTCTGATATTTGACTATTACACTGAGCAAAAGATGTAAGAAGACAAGCACAATCACAACAAGGTGACTCAGATTGTAACATTGTGTTTGTCATGACACATTCAGTGATGCGCATATTAAACACTGTCATGCTGTTTGTGTGACTGCAAAGGAGAAAGAATTACTTTCTTCACCAGTGTCATCAGTATTCGTCCTGTTCTCTACTGAAATATCCAAAAGTCCTAAAACTGAGCTAAATTTAATTGTGTGAAATACTAGGACCTTCTTACCCCTACGACAAACTGTCTTTTGCTTGTCAAGAAATGTAATTTTGTTTGAAGGAGGTTTAGATACTTTTTCCTGGAAAATAAGAAAGAAGTATGTCTGTCTAAGAAGGGTTATGACAATATAAGTGAAATTCAGAAATCTGTCTGTTTGCTCTTTTTTCTGCATGTGTCAATGCGGTCACCCTGAAAACAATCCAGAACGCGCTCATCTACATCTCTCACTTTGCTGAAATGTGCCAATTTCAATATTGCGAGAGCACATGTGACAAAAAACCCGTGTGCTTGACCCTGAACACACCAACTGAGCCCGGAGGTTTGTGTGCATCATTCAAGGATCCCACAACCATGTCACAACTTTTTAGAAATTCTTATGTTCATTTAGATATTTTTAATCATCATAATTTAAGATTTTTGTTTTGTGTGGCTGCAGTGCAAAGAGAAACGCATTGCTGGGCACATAAAGCAGCAGCTTTAAAGGGGTAATTCACTGCTGGCAAGATGGAGAAAACTTGGCTGTCTATGCATTTTTTTTTTTTTTTAGATTGATGCTACATGACTAGAGAAAACTGAGAAAAAAATGGCTGTTGCCCTACCAAAAAATGTAGGAAAACCTCAACACCCATAATGCACTGGCTTGATCTAAGTGTCCGTGAGCGGGGATACAAAAATGCAAGATGTATTTTCACAATAAGATATGTATACAGACTACAGATTGGACTGACATAACCGGGGATATTTCGGTGCAGGTAGCACGAAGAAAGAGTACAAATTATGGTAACACTTTAGTATAGGGATCAATTCTCACTATTAACAAGTTGCTTATTAGCATGCGTATTATTAACATATTAGCACATATCCTGCATGACTATATTCTACATCCTTAATCCTACCCAACACCTAAACTTAACAACTATCTTTAATAAGCAGTGAATTAGGAGTTTATTGGGGCACAAGCCATAGTTAATGGTTTGTTAATATCAAGAATTGGACCTTAAAATAAAGTGTTACCCAAATTATTATATAGTTTACATATAAAATTGGCAATGTCACTCTTTAAGACCAGCTTTAAGTCAACTCCAACCAGTTGCATCAAACGAATGAATGTCATTTGATACAGTGGACCACACAGTGCTTAAGCACAGACTGTGTAGGGCTGGACTTTCTGAACAAACTGTCAGCTGGTTTGATAATTATCTTACAGACAGAACTCAGTGTGTGCAGGCGGAGGGCAACACCTCTCGCTATCTCAAAATAACAAAAGGCGTGCCTCAGGGGTCAGTCTTGGGGCCACTACTTTTTATTCTCTATATAAATAACATTGATAGTAACGTGTCTAAAGGAACATTTCATTTTTATGCAGATGACACTGTACTGTATTGCTCAGCACCCACCGCAGACCAGGCTCTTTCCCAATTACAACTTGATTTTAACACGCTCCAACAGAATCTTTATGATTTAAAACTTGTTTTAAATGCTGAAAAAACAAAAGTCATGCTTTTTTCAAATTTGAAATCCAAATCAAATCTGCCTTCAATCCTCACTTCCCAGGGAACGAAGATTGAATGTGTCTCTAAATACAGATATCTTGGTATTTTAATAGATGAATCTCTTTCTTTTACCTTTCATATTCAGCAGCTAGCAAAAAGATTAAAACTTAAATTAGGGTTTTATTTTAGAATCAAATCCTGCCTTTCGTTCGAATCTAGAAAGAGGCTGGTTGCTGCCACTTTTATGTCTATACTTGACTATGGTGATGTTTTATACATGCATGCCTCGTCTCAAAGTTTACATGCACTGGACACTGTATACCATGGAGCTCTGAGGTTCATCACTGGTTTTAAAGTCCTCACTCACCATTGTGAACTGTATGAACGTGTTGGATGGCCTTATCTATCAATGCGGAGACTTCAACATTGGTATATCTTCATATATAAAGCTATTTTAGGTCTACTTCCATCCTACCATCTGACCTACATCAGTGTAAATAATACTGGGACTTACAATCTTCGTTCACAGGATCTTTTCCTTCTGTCTGTTCCAAAGGTTAGAACTGAGCTGGGAAAAAAGGCGTTTAAGTATGCTGCTCCCTCTTCATGGAACAAATTACAGAAATCTATGAAAATTAATACGCTGGTCTCATTGGTCGCTTTTAAGAGGATGTTAACTGACTTGGAGGCAGTCACATCTGGCTGTAGATGTTCTGCCTGATGTGTTATTGATTGTGGTTTATTTTAAAGGATTCGCTATTTCAGTTGTTTTATGTTACTATATTTTGTACCTGTATGTATGTATGGTTGTGACACTCTTGAAAAAGAGATTTTTAATCTCAATGAGTTTCTTCCTGGTTAAATAAAGGATGTGTGAAAAAAAAATGTGTGAACAGTAATCCTAACACGCCTAGCACTCGCTGTATTTCAGCAAATGAGTTGCAACTACTGACTGACGTTACTACTTAATATTCATGAGACAGGCTAATAAGGTCTGCAATGTGTCCCCGAGCCTTTTCAGATCGCTCTTAAGCCCTTGATCATGTTACATGCATGACGTACTTTTCTGTGCCAACATCACCGACTCAAACTACCCTCCAAGGTCATCCATTCAGGAGCATCTGTCTCTGCGAAGAGGAGAAATGTGGCCTGGTCTCTTATTTATAATCTGTCCTCTGAGGGAAGTGCTTTCTCCTTTTAAGAATGGCTGCTGGAATCAGGGCAGCACTACTGTCCTTATTAGAGGAGATTGTACTCCTTCTGAGCAATTCCTGCTGGGACCCTAGATTAAGTAGGTTTGTCAGAGGGGAATGAGAACGCGGACCGGTGGACTAGATTAGCGTGCCGATCAAGGGCATGGGACGAGGGCACAGCCTAGCTAAGGTGGGACAGTGTTTAAGTAGCCATGTGATCCGGTAGCCAACAGCCGTTGTCATTGCTCCAGAACCGGGTCCTTCAGCGCAATGTCAAAGCGTCGCCAGGGATCAGTCAGGTGAAGCGGTGGCTCTGATAAGCGGAGCTGGCCCACTGATGCTCATTGTGTGAGCTGCGGTCATGTTGTGTTTGCAGCTTGGCTCTGGGATGTTTTGCCAGCTCGCTTTGACCTTCAGTGCCTCTTACCGTTTAAATGCGGCATCAGATTACATGGAGTGTCTCACTCCCAATATTCACAGCCCTTCTGTTTCTTTCCATTTTAATTGGCGCAAAAATTGGCTATTAGCTGCATTTAGCATTTTCTCCTCAGCAGCAGAAGCATTCGCGTTCAATGCCAGAGTGCTATTAAGCGCCAAGGTTAAAAGTTTCACATCTGTGTCTTTAATACACCTCCGCTGCACTGGGCAAGGCTCGGGAGATATTTTACCTCTCATTTCATTATGAATTAGCCAGGAGACACATCAGGATGTGCGAAACGTGAGTGGAGAGATTAGTCTAAATGTTGGTTACTTTTAAACAGGCTAATTCGGGTAAGGATGTGCACTGCGTCGAAGTGAGATGGGCCATCAGACTGAAATAGAAATGAGAACAGAGGAAGGCATGGGGGAGGACAGTCACGGTGAGCGAACAGACACTTCTGGCCGGCTTGCAGCTGGTGCTGGGCACAGTACACTGAGACCATTAACATGCAATAGCTGCTTGGCATTGTCATGCCTTAGCCCACCTCTACGGCAAATAGTTTACCGTGGTTGCAGCGTAGACAGAAGTGTCTTTCCCGCTGTCTGAACGCATGGACTTAGTCATTCGTTCCTGCTCATTGTACTGTGTAAAAATAGCAACCCTTCCCTCGTCCTTCAAAGATTTCCCTGGTTCTGATTATTCCTCGTTACCTGTACCTCGACCTGCAGGCTTTCAGATGGCGTGTGGCATCCGTCTGGCCTAGCGGCAGCATTATCTGAAGCGAGCGGACTTGAAGGAGATGCTTTATCTTTTCTTGGGAGGTCGCCAGGCTCCTCCATATCTCGCTCAGCTCCCATCTGCCAGGAACTCTCTCTGTGAGAGTGGCCAACACCCACAACTTCGGGAAAAGTGGGCGCTTTAGCGGCTCAATACTACCCACGTAATGTACCGTAGCATCCAGGGGGATCCAGGGAGACTCGTGTTGTCCTTACAGAGCAATTTCTTTACTCAGCAGAGATGAGCTGACCATCAGCCCTGGTTCATCATTGATTGTAGTATGAGTAAGGTAAGCATAGATTAAAGGCACAAGTATTGACTGAAGCTCTTGAAGGAATCGAAGAGGGATAAAGTTACACATTAGTGTCTGGAGTGTGTTCCCTGTTTGGATGCCTCCCGCCCTGCAGGAAATCCAGTTGCAGCTGGCTGCTGTTACATGGATCCCAGTTGGTCAAATCTGGACATAATTTGGTTCAAGCTGAATGACCAGCTGAAGAGGCCGATGTCAACTTTGTTGGGACTGGTAGATCAGTTGGTGGGGACCTGGTTAACTTGCATGTACTGGTTTCTCTTTCTTGCTCACTGAACAGCTTGAATAGTTTTTTTTAGGTAATGCATAGGTCATTAGAAGTATTGCAAGTTACGTGATCAGATTACTTTTTTCAAGTAACTATTAAAGTAACGCATTACTTTTAAATTAACAAGAAAATATCAGTTACTTTTACAAATAAGTAACGCAAGTTGCTTTGTTTTCCTATTTATTCACTGTCAACTTTCCTGTCCCCGTGTTGAGAGAAATTGGGAGTAAGTGCAGAGACAGAGGCATTTTCTTCAGCCTGAGGCTTATTAATTTCTCTCTTGGGGCCAGCTGCATAAACTACTTAGACTAGTCTTAAAAAATGTGTCATCTAATTTGTTTTCATTCAAACTGGTCATAACTTTTTTAATCCAGTTACAAAAATGTAGATTGGCCCAATTTGAGTGAGAAAAGTAAAACTGATTACCCTCTTGACTAACTGCTAATTAGTCAAACTAGTTCTTAAGACAAAGTCTTAACATAGTGGCTATGTTTATGCAACTGGCCCTTGTTGTGAAAGGGCCTTTACAGTCACCAAAAATATGACTTTTGGGTTTTCTGTTATTAAAAATAAATAAGCAAGCCCGGCCCAGGTGACAAAAAGTAACGCCACCGCCTCCGTTCCTCTGAGCTCCATGAGGGAACGCAGCTCCATGAGCGAGCATCCAAATCCCCCTGCATGGTTGCTGTCGTTGCTTTGGTTCTTGGTGTAAAAATCGCTATTTGTCATGTCCCCCATGGTGGCTGAGTATTGCTTGGTAGCTTTTCTTGAAAGCGGATGAGAGAAATGGAGAAAATGCCACACGGGCAGAGAAGGAGTCCCTGGTGCGGCTGGAGAACAGGTGTCTAATAAAAACGAGAGCAATGCAGGAGAGAATGGAAGGTAAGAGAGGGAGGATGAAGAAAAAAAACTGATCCTGTCCGCTGTCTGCAGTTGAAGAGAGGCTCCTCTGCGTTACTCGAGCGGGGACGCGACAGCCATCCGCGAGATCCCGGCTGAGGTCCTGAGGACGTCTGCGCTCACCACGGCTGCAGACCGGCGGCTCTCCATACGTGGTTTCCCATTCTACCTGCTTCCCGACGGCTGCTGTCTACATGGTGATCCGCTCCATTACTCCTTCAGAGACAGAGAGAGACACAGAGAGAGAGGAGGACAGAAGGGGAGGGAGGGTGAGAGAGAGAGAGGGAGGGAGAGATAAGCATGAGTGTTTCTCAGAGGTGCAAGCAGCACAAAAGTGAGAGAGGCGCTAGGAAAGCACGGCGCGCGGCATTGTGTCGTCAACGCATCTGCGTTTCGCTCGCACACAGAGGTGGGGGGTGTCCATCTATTCCTGTGATTCTCCTCGTCACATGCATAGCTGCGGCATGCTGCGCTTTGATCACTCTCTGACTAAATACAGAGCCATGTAAATACTGGAGGGACATGTGAGCGTTTACACCGCTCGTGTGATCTGAATGAGACTGCGCAGCGCATCAAAGGGCTTGACGCTATCAAGAAATACGGGCAGTGCATCCCACACTGCAGCAAGGTTAGCTGGAGGGGAGCTAGCGATGGTAAAGAATTATATCCACGCTAATGCATTTGTGCTGCATAGAGCACCATTTGAATACCTTCTAACTAATGCTGCTACATCCTGTAGGGCAATTCTCACATTTATAACTTTCTGGAATCACACAACGCCACAAACAGTTGTTAAATGCATTGGAAACTGCAGCATCTCTAAGCATGGTTGGGGAGTAGTGATCTGAAGGCAGTGACGCTACTTGCTACATTTTTCAGCAGTGTAACAGTAGCTCGGTGTTTTTCAAAATAGGTCACTTTTCCAGTAACAAGCTACTGTTTCCAACTTAAAAACGGTGTAGCATGACAAAACACTACATTGCTGCCTTTCGAATCATGTTGCTGTGCTGACAGCTTTACCGCAGAGCGAGGTGAGGCTATATGATCATATGTGCTTTCTTAAATAAAAGATTCTAGCCCCTCTCTCCTCTTTTCATGAGTCAGTTTTTAATGTCATCCCAACTGACATGTTTTAATAACTGCCCAATTAAAAAGTATCATCTGGTATGTGAAGATAAATGCATTTAACAGCTCTTTAATAGCTTCCAAGTAATTTGCTTATTTTGGTTAGTATCTTGTACTACTTTTTCCAAAAAAGAAAAAAAAAAGTATCTTCATGTACAGTTTTAGACTATCTACTAAATATAGTTTATACAGTTTATTTTAAAGTAGCTTCCCAACACAGCTCACACTAGCTACATACCAACACAACCTAAACCAACTTGACCCATCCATCGATTATTGACTGAATCTATCTGGAAGACTAAACAGCTGGGACAGAAAATCAGTACCATTTCTAAAGAGAAACATTTGCATTTTTCTCAGAGAATGTCTTTGTCAGAAGCAAATTAACATGTAACTGTTTGTCAGAACACTCTGCCTGTATTTCCAGACTCCAGCTTGATGTGTTTAAGAGTGAGCCCTAGTGAAAAATAAATACAGGCTACTAAAAATGTATTTGAAATACATTTATTTCATGCTAAGTATACTACGAATACATTTACATATTTATGTACACTACCAGTCAAAAGTTTTTGAACAGTAAGATTTTTTTTTAAATAATTAAATAGAAATTAATAGAAATTATATAAATTAATACTTTTATTTAGCAAGGATGCTTTAAATGTATCAAAAATGATGATAAAGACAAAAACTTTTTAAAAAATTACTTGGCTGTTTTCAACATAACAATAATAATAATAATAATAATAATAATAATTATTATTATTATTATTATTATTATTATTTTGAGCAGCAAATCAGAATATTAGAATGATTAGAATGACAGATCGTGTGAAATCACAGGACTAAATTACATTTTAAAATATATTCAAATAGAAAACAATTATTTTAAATAGTAAAAATATTTCAAAAGGCTATTGTTTTTGCTGTACTTTGGATCAAATAAATGCAGGCTTGGTGAGCAGAAGAGACTTCTTTAAGAAACATTAAAAATATTACTGTTCAAAAAGTTTTGACTGGTAGTGTACTTAATAAAAATACCCTGCAGTACTGCTTTTGGTACACTAAACTGGTAAACTTCAAGTCTGCTAAATTGGAACAACTAATGTTGTGCTTAATGCACTGTAATTGTGCAGAAGTATACTTTATATCTATATATCTCGCATTCAAAGACCAATATTATTCAAAGATCATGCAATCCTCTTCAATACTGACATTAAAACACATTTTAGGCTAAATAATACGAAATGTACATTGTGCACAAGTAGTACTCCAAATAAAGTTTAATTATCATTTCTATATCAGTAAGTCTCGTGCGATATGTGAGTAAATGTGTCAATAGATTTGAGCCACACTTAGTATGAAATAAATGTATTTTAAATATATTACTTTTTTTTACTAGGGAATGGCTCATCGCATCAGTCATGACACAGCACCATCCTTTCTGTCCAAACATTTATTAGTGAAGCTCTCTAGCATGATTTTGCCAGGCAGGACATGTTTCTTACTGAAATCACGGTGGGATGGGCCTGCTTTTCCATGGGCCTTCAGGACTAATCAATATCCACTCCTGTTCCCAACACCAGCTCCACCAGCTGTGCCAATGATGGTTAACGTACCGTCTCTCAGGGAGGCATAATGAAGTCCTCCAGAAGGTTACTACAGGTGATAATACAGGTACAGCTGCTCCTGTCTGGATGCTGTGACAGATCCTCTAACAACATCACTGTGAAACAACACTGTGCATAATCTGAACAGACTACCCAACAGCACTACAACTCCATGCGCAATATTTCAACAATGCTTTCAGGAAGATATTGCTATCAGCACAAGATGCTATCGCTGTAAATGAGGTGACAAACAATCCCAAAGAGCAGCTGCACTCCGAGTCTAATCATGTTTTGATTTATGAAAGCAACGAAAAAGACTGACAAAGACAAATGATGTGTTCAGAACGTAAACACGGCACGAAACAAGTTACAAGTTGAAACTTCAGACCTTTAGGAAGTCCTCTAAACCTATGCAAGAGATTTCAAAGCAACATGAGGAGTGTCACTGGAAACATAAGTTGCCTTATCAGGACTGCTTATTAGAAATAATATACAGTACAGGGAGATTCTTCCAGGCTTCCACAGCTTCTAATGTGACAATCTATGACTGAACAATAAACCTGTACAGCAGTCTAATCACACGGCTAAATATACAGCCGAGCTCACACATAAAAGCGTATTCAAAACATTCAAAAGCTGCCTTGATTAGCAGTTATTCAAACAACCGTCTGGTTCTAGTTCATGACATGTTCAAATGATTGAGCGTTTATTAATTACAGTTCATTTATTATTTGATACTGGTTGCTTCCATAATATAATATTGGTCTACTATATATGAGTTCTTTTGAAAAAGCAATAGAGTTTAATGAGAGATGGCAAATATATATGGCAAATTATTAATAGAACAGGGATTATTTACACTGATGAAATGTCCTAATTTCTGCATCTAAAACGGTAAAGTTTCATAATCATGTGCGCTGATTACTGTCAGAGGAGCTGAAACACATGTCTGTGTGTGGGACAAACCCCAAAGCCCATGCATCGTCCAAAAGGCAACAGGAATGTGTGTGCGTGTGTGTGTGTGTGTGTGTGTGTGTGTGTGTGTGTGTGTGTCTGTGTGTGTGTGTGTGTGTGTGTTCTATCATTTCTAATAACATCCTTTCTAGTGGCATCCTTCAAACTGCAGACTTCCGTCAGGATCGATAGCATTGAACTGTGCACAGATGAAAGACACTTGATCACATCTCAAAACATACTACTTTAAAACTGTTTTAAGTTAGATTTTTGGAGAGTTTTTGGGAAGATGAACAGTACAATCCACTGAACACACTGTACTTCCGTCCTTTCAAAAATGAAATATGGTGCTATCCTGACTAAGGTCTATGGAGCACTCTGTGCTTTTCGCTTCCTCTCTTTAACCAGTATCTCTTCTCAGTAGCTGCTCACAAGGTTAACAAACCAGACATGTGTGTGTGTGTGTGTGTGTGTGTGTAATTTTTAGATAAATTGTGTTGATCATTACTATGTTTAAATATAAATAAGTGCATCAAAATATAATATGTTAATCATACTGTTCTAAAATGTTTGGCCAAAAAAAAAAATTATAATAATTTTTT